AAAAAAAAAAAAAATTAAAATATGGGCGGGAGTTATGTAAACAATTCAAAAAAAAATTCCAAAAAAAAGTAATAATTGAAAAAAGAAACAGGAAAATGACTTTCTAATTATTTATTTTTTCTTAAGTGTTTTATATAATAATAGATTACAGTTTGATATAATTCCATGAAAATTCCTAAGGCCTACAGTAGAGTTGGGTTTCTTATTATTATTACAAATATAGAGATTAATTTCTATTAAAAAATTAAAGCCTGAATGCCACAGAGGTGCGAGCATATAGATGTCTTTTGAAAAATTTGTTTTTATTGTTAGTAACTTAACATGTTAAAAGTTATGGAAAAAAAAAACATGTGACTTGCATATCATAGCAAATAAAACACTCAACGATATCAGCATTTATTTTTATTTTTTTTTTTTTAATTTTGTCTGATTGCAATACCTATATTAACTTTTTCCGAAGGAATTTTGTCTTTCTGATAATTACGCACGTGTAGGTAGAGTGGACAGAATTATATAATTTAATGTTTGTTATAAAGTGAAATATACTATATTCTATTTTATATATATATACAACACTCGTTAATAAACCAATTTAATATACTTTAAATAAAAATCTAATAAAAACTAAAAATATTATTGAATTTTAAAATATATTTATAATTTAAGTTGGCTACGTGTTTTATAATTTTAAATTCTAATTGACATGATAAAAGTCCAAATTAATGTCATAGATTACTATAAAACACCTAATTCTACTGAGTTATGTGGTGCATATTGCCTCTGATTATGATAATTCATTTAGCTTTGGAGGTGAATCTAAATTTTGATAAAGGTAATTATATATAGTATGCGGTAGTTATACTTTAAGAAAAATAATTATATTTAATTACTTTCTTAAAAGATTTTACTTGATCTATACTTATATTAAAGGGGATACTATTTACTAAAAATGGTAGCAAAAATATAGGTTAACATTTAATGCAACTTATAAATAGTAAATTTCATTAATTTTATTATTATTTTCTTTAAAAATCAAACAACATTAAATGTTACCTTAAATTACGGGCTTTAGTTCATTTTATTATTTAAAAAATCTGGATAATTTCTTTTAAGTGTGCATGTTTTTTTTATTTTATTTTATTTTTTTAGAAGCAAGAAACAACATTAAAATTCGAGTCTCTATATTTATAAAATCTCAATTCAAAATACAACAGGTGTTTTAGAATCTCGGTCTTTATATTTGTGCCTTTCAAAACATATATTGAACGCTAAAAATATTCTTTAAATTGATAATCAATCAATCAATATGATTTTTTCAAAAATCACTATGTTTATTTTTTTATTAATATGCATAGTAAAAATAATAAAATCATATTTAGATGTATAATTTATAATCTTAATATACTATCATTTAGTGTAGACATTTATTATATGAATCATAAAATATTTTTATTTCATAAAATTAAATATATTTACAGGAAATAAGAAAATTTATTTGGATCAATCGGGTGATTGAATTAGGGTATTGCCCAAGTTGATTGAATTACTTAGATGATATTTAAAATAGTCAAAAAAACTTGACACAACTTGGTTGGTCCCAAGTGACTAAGTTATGTATCATTTTGACCAAACCAAATCGATTATTAAACTTAAATATAAATTTTAATAAAATACTTTATTATGTGAATGTGATGCAGTCCAAACTTCAAATAATCATATTAGCAATGCTTTTATGACAACATATTTATTAATTTATAAATATTTATATATCATTTTAGTAATATTTGTGTGAATAACATAATATTTGATTATAATTTTTTTTATTAATGTACAGTAAATAAAAGGTTTTCAAAACCGGACTGTCATCGAAACGATCAAGTTATTGTATTAAATCACTTGTGGTTTCTTTAGATTTTAATTTATAAATATTTTAATATACATATATAGGATTTTTTGTAATAAATTTAAAAAAAAATTATGTTACTTAAATATCTAAACAATTTATAAATTCAAATGTTTAAACTAATGAATAAACAATTTATAAATCTCTATTTTTTTTTAAATATGTAATTTATTTACACTAATTTTAAATGTGGCATAATTTATTTAGAAAATCGTATCGATCCTACCAGTCCAATCGACTGGTGTTGACGGATTCAATAGCAATTATTGTATTCAAACGAATTATAAA